CCCAAAACTAAAAAAATGTAATTGTCAGAAACAAGAGATCAAAAGGAAGACTTCTTGCGCACATCTGATGCTACCTCCGCAAGGTCCATTGCACGCTGAAGTGTTACGACCACTGTGGGAGACGCTCACTTTTACCATAGCATATGGGAAGCATGTGGCAGTTGAATACCGCATACCAAAAATAACACCTCTTAAGGTCAATATTGACTTTACTTTCAACAAAACAATTGAATAACTCAAGTAATGATAGATTTAGGTTGTCGTTGCGAAATGCGAGAAGCACAAAGTTAAAGAAGTAGATGCTAGAACTCTCTACAGAAAAGCGAAAAAACAAGTGGGTTTTCCATCAGTTAGTTGTTTAGTCATTGAATAATCTGTAAATTCTGAAGCAATGGTCTAGGATATGGAGATATGGAAAGCTGCTGAACCACATCCGATAATCTTAACCACAGTAGAAAGAACAGACCCACAGATGGTGAAACGTATACGGCTTGAGCAGAATCCATTATTCGATCGGATGCCACCTTGTGTGTTGTTAGATAAAACGAAAATTAATAACAAGACAAGACTAGTACAAATTTGCAAGAAATTCGGACATTTAGGTTGCAACGTCGCTGAAGTTGACCTTCTCACCACAGAACAAACCACATACAAAACAAAGACTAGCACCGGAGAAACGACACAAGTGGAAAAGCATACATACGTCGACCACCAGTTGATTCAGAAATGGGAAAATATGGTTCACGTAGAAAATCGAAGACGACGGGTCGACTAGCACAGCGAAAAGAAACGATATATGATCAGAGATTGATACTTCACCATATTCAAAATCTAGCTATCAAGTATTGGTGCTGCAAACGTAATAAAGTTTTTAAGATGCTTGTAAGAACAGTTAGCTGTGAAAAGATAACTATTGAATGAAGGCGAGTAGATGTGCCCTATTCAGCAAAGAAGGTCCAAAGTTCAACCTCTTGTTTCATCTTGATAGAAACCTGAGGAGGTGCCCAGATATATTTAACTTCCAATCTTCCCGGCTCTAATGTGGGTTGACTATAGATATATCTTACAGTTTAGCGAACCAGAAATGATTGTTTCACTCCTCTAAAAGACAGAGACTC